AATAAAAGTAGATGTTGTGTGCTTGGCCAATTTAAGGCAGCGCTAAATGATTTCCAGTGGTGTTTCCCCTACTTGACAGCGCTGTTGTCGGCCTCTAAGCAACAAAATCAATTTCAGATGAGTTTTTAATCACAGAAGTTGTTCTGTATAGTGTCAAAAGCTGATTGTAACTGAGTGAAGAACTGTAGAGTATTGTGTCAGCATAGAAATGGAAGTATGTGTTTGCAAATAAAATATAAGTTATTTTAGTTACATATACAAGTAAAAAAAACAGGCCAAGGTAGGAAGGCATCAGCAGCCTTAAAATGCTTCATTATTCTTAAAAGACTGGGCAGCTAAGTCAAGCAGATATGTTTATTTATCTACTTGAGACTGATGTGCCAGCGCGTTGGCTAGTACATTTCAGGAATGTGCTAGCTAATACATTTCCAGGATAGCAGCACATCCGAAATGACCTTTTTAGGGGCCTCATAGTATAAATCCCTGGATGTAGTTCTCACCCCTGGCTGTTTACCAACTATACACCAGAGCAGACTTTTCCGTTCTCGAGATTGACAGCTGTCCCAGAATGCAGCGCGGCAGCTTTCAATGGATCGCTGACAGAGCTCAGAGTATTAAGTTAAAAGTTCTCTTTTCTGTTGCTGTTGTTCAATAAAAGTACGTTTTAAGATCATTTGAGGGGAGAATATTATACTTTTAAGGGTCACTATATGGCCCATTTACAGATTTAGAGTGTAATTTAAAAAAAAGTTCTGATGTGGAAAGGAGTGTGGCGACCAGCGGACCACCGAGGTTAACCTGGGCTAACCGCAGCCCATCTACAGTAGCCCTCTCTCGGCATATCCGAGTGTGAAGGACCGCTGGCAAGTTTTTTGTTTTATTTGGCAAAATGTTACCGCACTGAATGAAAGAAGTAATAATTTATTATTATCTAGAGACTATTAATGTGTTCTTCTCAAGAACATACTTGGGGAGGACACAAGTCCGTACTCGCTTTTATGGGGTGTAATTTTTTTCCACTTTCTTTGACTGAAATAAAGATACAAAATCGTTTGAATTGAGGTCTAGTAGAAACATTTTTTCACTGTCAGTAATTCACTCCCTCTTGCTCTTCCCACCCGTTGTGTAACTTTTCTCAAAACACGAACAACAGGAGGTCAACAGATCAGCAAATCTGACATTTATTCAAAGCGATTGGCTTTCTAAGCTCTCTCATTTATGGGTGCATCTTTTATGACTTTTCACATTATATATATATAATCTTTGTACATTCAGTTATTGTTTTGCTGCTGTTTTGATTCATTTAAGAGCTATGTACAGGCTTCTACAGTAGGTTTGCTGATTGAAATGGATCTCTGTTTCCCTCAGTTGGGATTTTCTAGTCTTTTTTGTACTGAACTTCAACTCCTGAGCTCCTGAGAACATGCTCAACTTCACTCTCTGTATCATCCATTTATTTCTTCTTTTTTTTTTTGGTGCAAGTCCCCCACATATGTGGCTGCTGATGGCTTCAAATTAAGGGCAATCACAGCGGTAAACGTGAAGCGGGTAACCTTGAGCTTCAAGGCGTGATCAGCTCAAAAACAATCTGCTGCTAACACTGCGGACTGCATGCAAAACAGATGTAGGGTTCAGCTGCCATTCGGCTCCCAAACCTCCATATTATCAGTTAATCTCTCGGCCTATTTAAAGAGGAAAAACAAGATGACTCTTTTCTATTGTAGAAGGAACCTCTTGACCAAATTGGAAGCGGTCCGAAGAAGTCCTTGTGGTTATTTCCTAATTATTAAATAAAAAAAGGCATGGAGAAGGCTAATGATTTAGGTACTTTGTCAACAATGTAAACACAAAGGGAAATGACTAAAGCCCCAAAATGTGAAATTCATGGCCAGATGTTTGAACAGATTTTTTTTCCTTCATCTATGGCAAAACATGCTAAAAAAAAAATCAAATAAAACCCTAAAATCATATATTAAGATTTTTTTAGGCTTATATTTTCAGTTAAGATTAAAGTTCTACCTAAAAATGAAAAGGACAAAGTTTTAAATATAAATATGCAATGTTTTTGGTAGAAAATTGAAAATTTCAGCGAATTGAACATTGTGCTTAAAAAAATGAGATAGAGACAAAAGAGTAAAGACAAAATAACACATTATCCTGTTTAGTACAATATATATTACATAATACAATAATAACATTTTATGTAACCATATATTAAACTTCTATTAACATTACGCTTACCTTTGAAAACAATTATTTAAGAAAATACTGAGGTTTATAAGGACCCCTGATCATGGACGAAATTTAAAATTTCAGACGTGGGGGGCCTCTTAGGGGCCCCACCACTGACACCTGGTAGGCCCCCTACGCTACAGAATTGGACAAGCAGTAGCCACCAGTTGGCTTAGCATAGATTAAGAAAAATATTTATTTAATAAACTAAAGAGAAAAAAAGCCTGTAGAAGGCAAATTACTGCTGAAATGTATCAGAGTAATATGTAAATATCAAGAAAAATATAGTGTTTACACTAGCTCAGTTGGTTTAGTTGGTTGACAACCAAGATGTATTTAGCTTGACTTTAGATAAAATAAAACTACCAACATCTAGGGACAACAAGTAATTATAAATTCAGTTTCCAGGTTTAAAATGTTAGCTTATAGTTATAAAAAAACAACTTGAGGAACTATCGGCCATTGGTTAGCTTACTTTAGAAAACGCTATGAGTGCAAACAACCAGCAGCTATACACAGTATAGCTAAACTTTGTATTAAAACAAAAGATACCATAAAAACTTTAAAAAAAAAATAGCTTAGTCAAAGAATAAGTTCAAATTGTAACAAAAAGTATTAGCAAAGTCTACATTAATTAAAATTGTATTGTAAATTAGATTAAAAATGTTTAAAAAGCGTCATACTGCTTTGCTAACCACCATTGACTATTTAGCTTAGATTTATTACTATATTTTAAAAGCCACAGGCAGTTAAAGTGTTGAAAACTCAAGCTTGGTCAAAAAGTTAACAATTTTCTTTTTGATTGTTTTAAAATATACCTATGAATATGTAAATGAATAAAATATATGTAGATTTTGTGACATGGCTAACATTTGTCATCCAATTAGCCCAGCTTAAGAAGAAAACTAAGAACACATACTGTATGGGCAGGTTGGATGAATCATGAGTATATATAGTTGTGAGCAGTATGGTAATGTATTTGTTTAGCACTTTATTAAGTCGCTTTATCAAGTTCTTTACACTACATTCTGTCATTCATGCGCATACAGGGCTCGATGTTAACCATCGCCCGATCTCCCGGGGCAAGTAGTTTTTATTGTTGGGAGAGTACAAATTTGCGATCATTGCATTCGCCCAATGGGGAAGTGCAATGATTGCCAAAAAAAATTATTTATCACTCAGAATTACTTTAAAAATCACTGACATTTGATGAAAACGACCCAGAAGCGTTGCCGGTGCCATTTTTGTTGTGTTGTACATATTCTCGCGTGATTTGAAAAAGGTGCGTGATTTAAAAAGCCGGGTGATTTTCCGCCAGATGGCGTGATTTTTGTCCACCTAGCGGTAATTTTGATGTAGTTACCAAAACGACAAACAAGCTAGAAAGCGCTATCGTATGGCAGTCTTCTGTACAGTGATGCAGGTCATATATTAAAAAATGTTCATAAATTTTTTTCTCTTAGAAATTGGAGAGGTGCATTTACATGTTATAGA